ATGTTGGTTCCGTTCAGGCATTCCTCCCTCTACAACTTCATGCGATAACTCTTATTCATAACTGTGTATGTCACGAGGTTATGCAAATGGAAAAGTGTACCGACCAACAGAAAGCTTTGTTACAATGACTGCCAAAAAGCGCTTGGTGCTTTGCATTTCTTCATCTTCGGTTGTTGCATATGTTGCAGTGACATGAGCTTTGTGGTATAACACCTACTTTTCTATAATACTCAACAGTGGTGACAACACTATTACCACGCTCGATGGTCGCAAGGCCGGTAAAGCATAATAATTTACAATTTACAGTGTGACTAAAAAGTATAGCTTTGGTCTGAATATTTGTGAGTTGCATGATATATGGATATAGTCGTCGGCATCCAAGCCAGCACAGCTTCCACTGTGCGCAGTGACATTATTCTCGAGGGCGGGTCTGGCAACCATCACTGTGAAAAGGCCAAACGCTCTCAGAAAACGGTATTTTGGGATGGTTGTTGACACCCCCTTAACAGTGTAACAAGATTTCCCCTACCTATGCAACATATTTAAATTTGGTTGTGTAGGATTACTTCAAAGTTAAGTTTGTGCTGTTTTCTTGATTTTAGCTATTTTCACTGTCTTTTTGGGCGGCGCTCCTCTGCCGCCTGCGCAGAGCCCATAGAAATACATGGTAGAGTGGTGCGTGTCTTTAACAGCAAGATGCGTCTTGTGATTTAGCTTTGCCCAAGGATTTTGACAGATAATAACCAAGGGGTGAGAGACTACATGTATTTACCTTGGCGAGTTTGGTAATTGCGACCTAATGGATGCCTAGAATGACACAAACCTTTATGAATTTAGGATGTAAATTCAGTTTTATTACAGACTCCCGGGGAACAAACATTCGTGATGTAATTCGCTCTGGCGAGTCAAAGATAAATAAACATGGCGACAATAATGCAACATTTTATTTCTTAGCTAGTTTTCGGGTCCAGGAGATTTTATAAATTTATGCTAGTGAAATCTGTTGTATTTTGTACCTATCTATATAATTCTTTTGTTGAAAACATGTTTAGGCAGAAAATTTGGATACTTTCTTAGGGGGGAAACATAAATGTTTCGTAAATGTAAAGTTACACCAGAAATAAATGCAGTTCAAAAATTGCATAGTGACACAGTTTGTATTATTTGATTATAAATTCCCAGGGAACCAATATTAGTGCTGTAATTCACCATGGTGAGGGACTCCAAAAACAAACTTCATGACGAATGTTTTTTAATGTTCTGGTTATCTCTGGTGCGACTGCAGTTATTGAAACAAACTTGAGAAAATGCAATTTATGGTACGTGACTTAAAAACACAATTTAATGCACGTGAATTTCCCAAGAAAAGTTTAAATGTTCTAGTTGGTCTGTGGTGTGGCACTGGTGTGTGGTGTTGGAAGCAAATCGAGGAAAATGGCGACAAAGGTCAAATGTATTGTTATGCTAGTTTGATTTCTGGCATGTTAGTTGACAAAGCAATGAAAGATTTTTTTTTTTACTTTTCTCGATGATAGCTACGTAAATTGGAACCAAAACGACGTCCAGGGATGACAGTGCCAACCACCACTTAAAAGACTGTTTTGAGTTGTAGCATAAAAAAAGGGGACTGAACCATTGTTCACCTCTGAGAGGAATGGAAATGACTTGCTTTTGAGGGTGTCACAATAAGTGGGGATGAACAGTTTTTATGCTATGAAAAAGTGAAAACTTTGAACGTACTTTATGTACTTTAAAGCAAAGTAATTTTGTGTTTGATTGCCTAAAGCTTTTGGGTTCATGTGCTGCAAGTTACAGAGCACACACCTAAGTGGTCGTCCCTCAGCAATTAATTAAGCTTTTGCATTTTCCGTGTCAGAATCGCGAAAGTATCCGTCTTACTGAAGTCTGAATTACTGAACGAAGTACAGGATGACAAAGCTGAAATATCCAAGAACCGATGCATACCAAAACTTATATCTCAAATGTTAATATTTGTAGTATATTTTAAATCTAACCGGACTGGAAGTGAGAATTTGTTACTACTCTAAATATCCAAACATATTTTAGTATAAGGTAGTAACTAGTAGCTTCTTGATGAGTGGCTTATGCAGCGAGTAGCTTTCACAGTAAGTAGGGCTTTGTCGCTGTAACTGGTTCTTTCATCAGAGTTGAGAATTATTGTTTATTGTGTCAGAAACAACTGGTGTTAATCTGGGAATACCTTTGTTGGGAATGTTAATTTGTCCTTGTGATTTGTTCGGTTGCTCTGGCAGGAGTTCCTAAATATGACCCATGCTCTGATA